ATTAGAAGACAAAAAGTCTTTATAGAAGAATGTTCGCAGATGGCTTTTTCTTACCTGCGTTAGCTTCCTTTGTTCCCCCCCTTCCTGCTTGGTGACTATTCATGATTAAATGCAAATTAAGAAGAGCATATATTCTTTTGTTTGGGACACCTGGTTGCCAATTTCTGTTTGGACAGGGCTGTCAGGTTTGGGACATGTGTTAATAACATAATGCAGGGAAATCTTTAGTCACCCATTTTAGCAGGACAATATTAAACTCAATGTGCTGGTCAAGTGATACCTTACAAGGTATACTTGGTATGAAAAAATTATTACACTATAGAGTATGAATATGGAGATGTGTTTTGTCACAGGAGGTCATAACCAATAACAAACCCTACCTGGAGACCCATAGACAGCTAGTGGAGATGTCAGAACACCAGTATGATGTACTGTCAGCAAGATGTCCCATTCTTAATAAGTTGTATTCTGCACCAGCTGTAGTCTCTGAATGTTTACGGGAGAACACATTTCAGGAGACTAGTCTTCAGATAAGTATGAATAAAAGTGGACTGTTCATATCTAAGAGATCATACTCTCCTAGCGAGCTGCAGTTGGCAGTAAGACAATTGGGTTACTGATGTAAAAACTGTCAAAGGATAAGTGGGCATCTAAAGTCACCCCTAACTTGCTATCCCTAGTAATCTAATGGTGAATGAACATACTCAAAGGAACTGATATTGTATCTGCCATCTCTAGCTGCTCACTCCACAACACCCGACACCTTGATCTTGTATGGATTAAATTTCATCCAACTTGCTCTCACCTACACTTTGGCTGGAGCACTGAACCTCCTTGTCTAAGTCAGATGAGACAGACAGTGTCATCAGCTGACAAAATACTTCACTCCATGCCTCCTTACTCTTTAATGTTAACCTTGTCCTCCTATTTCCTCCATCTCTGTCATTGGGTATATCTACACAGCAACGTTATTTCAAAATAACTTAGTCCGTGTCTACATACCAGGCAGTTATTTTGAAATAATGTTGAAATACTGTCAAGCTGGAGGACTTCTTACGCCGACTCCTGTAACCCTTATTGTATGAGGAGTAAGGGAAGTTTTCATTATCTTTGAAAACTCATGGAGATTGGCAGAGATCCCAGATGATTGGAAAAAGGTAAATGTAGTGCCCATCTTTAAAAAAGGGAAAGGAGGACAATCCAGGGAACTACAGACCAGTCAGCCTTACCTCAGTCCCTGGAAAAATCATGGAGGGGATCCTCAAGGAACTCATTTTGAAGCACTTGGAAGAGGGAAAAGTGATCAGGAATAGTCAACATGGATTCACCAAGGGCAAGTCATGCCTGACCAATCCGATTAGCTTCTTTGATGAGGTAACTGGCTGTGTCGACATGGGGAAATCAGTGGATGTGATATATCTTGACTTTAGCAACGCTTTTGATACACTCTCCCACAATATTCTTGCCAGCAAGTTAAGGAAGTATGGATTAGATGAATGGACTGTAAGGTGGATAGAAAGCTGGCTAGATTGTCGGGCCCGCTGGGTAGTGATCACAACAGCTCGATGTCAAGTTTGCGGTTGGTTTCAAGTGGAGTGCCCCAAGGATTGTTTCTAGGGCCGGTTTTGTTCAATATCTTTATTAATGACCTGGATGAGGGGTTGGATTGCACCCTCAGCAAGTTTGCGGATGACATTAGCTAGGGGGAAGGGTAGATATGTTGGAGGGCAGGGATAAGGTCCATAGTGACTAGACAGATTAGAGGTTTGGGCCAAAAGAAATCTGATGAGGTGTTCAACAAGGACAAGTGCAGAGTCCTGCAGTTGGGATGGAAGAATCCCAAGCATTGTTACAGGCTGGGGACTGAATGGCTAAGTAGTTCGGCAGAAAAGGACTTGGAGATTACAGTGTATGAGAAGCTGGATATGAGTCAATGTGCCCTTGTAGCCAAGAAAGCTAATGGCACATTAGGTTGCATTAGGAGGAGCATTGCCAGCAGATCTAGAGAAGTGATTATTCCCCTTTATTTGGCTCTGGTGAGGCCACATCTGGAGTATTGCATCTAGTTCTGGGCCCCCCCTCCCACTACAGAAAGGATGTGGACGCACTGGAAAGGGTCCAGTGGAGGGCAACCAAAATGATTAGGGGGCTGGAAGACATGGCCTATGAGAAGAGGCTGAGGGATTTGGGCTTATTTAGTCTGCAGAAGAGAAGAGTGGGGGTGGGGAAAGGATTTGATAGCAGCCTTCAATTTCCTGAAGGGAGTTTCCAAAGATGGACAGAGGCTGTTCTCAGTAGTGATAGATGGCACAACAAGGAGCAATGGTCTCAAGTTACAGGGGGGGGGGGGGGGGGGGGGGGGCAAGGAGCAATGGTCTCAAGTTACAGGGGGGGGGGGGGGGGGGGAGAGGGGAAAGAATCTATGTTGGATATTAGGCAAAACTATTTCACTAGGAGGGTGGTGAAGTACTGGAATGGGTTACCTAGGGAGGTGGTGGAATCTTCGTCCCTAGAGGTTTTTAAGTCTCTGCTTGACAAAGCTTTGGCTGGGATGATTTAGTTGGGATTGGGTCTTCTTTGGGCAGGGGGCTGGACTCGACCTCCTGAGGTCTCTTCCAGCCCTAGGATTCTATGATTCTAAGTCAGAGGATGAGTGCTCTGTTTTGAAATAAGTGTTGTGTAGACACTCCCAATTTCGAAATAAGGTATGCAAATTGAGCTGTCAATTGCATAGCTTATTTCGAGTTAAGCCCTACTGTACAGATGCACCCCTCTTAGAATGACTAACTGGGACAGAATCCATGTCTATTTGCTAACTATATTTTTGAGCATCAGATGTTTTGCTTTTTCATATGTACTTGAATTATTAGGGTTATGGTTGAATTGCCCAAGTATAAATAGAGTACCCATCAGATAGATTTCAGGTAACATACTAGTACAGTGAGCTCTCGCTACTTCGCGGTTCGACCATCGCGGATTCACGACTTCGCGGACTTTTTTTATATCCGTATCATATCGTGCTTGCCTATTGTCTTTATACTTTCATATCATTCGTCATTACAGATGGCTTTTGTGCAGCATTAAAGAATGATATGGAATTACAATACAGTATAGGCTAATCACAGGGGAAACTTTGTAGGGGGTGGGGGGACCTATCGGTTTCTATTTACAGTACGTAAATATGGTGTCCCTACTTCGCGGATTTTCAGCTATCGCGGTCGGGTTTGGAACCTATCTACCGCGATAAATGAGGGTTCACTGTAGTTCATTTTTCTTCTTGACATGCACAAAACAGGATAAAAGCTATAGTAATAGTTTTGACAAATTAAGTCCCATTTGAAAATTGGATTTGGCAACCTATTGAATTTCAGAGAGTTTAAGCATCGCATTTAAAACGTAGTTAATTATCTTTGAAAAAATTCATACTAGGTGCCTCTCTGCACCTTTAGGCACCTAGCACCTTTCAAAAACTGGACTGTAGGCACTTTTGAAAATTATACTTGCTAATTTTTTGGCATTAGACTGACAATAGAGGTTTTGTGTTTCAGCTCTTGATTGGGGCTGATGAAGTAGCTTTCCTATAATCTACTTTGGTACAATACTCTTCTTTAATATTTCTTTGTGTAATTATCATTCTTGAGCTATTTAATCAACACCACCAAAAGGAAACATTAAATTTGTAACTGCTATACTCAAGAACTGCTGTGCAGAGGGTCACAAGTGACTGTTACTACTGAAATTGTTCAGTGCCAGAAGTGCTGAAGGATAGCATGTGGCCTACAGGGTGTGTTTTGGATACATTTACCTTAAGAGTTACAAATGCCAAACACATTTGACATTTAGAGTGAGTATAAGACTAGGAAAAAATGTGTATGAACTCCTGATTATAGTTCCCAATATATATATTAACAAGCTATAAGAGGAGCTAAAGATAAACTCTCTCACCCCAAGGTTAGATTAAAGGAGTAATTATCTCATTTGAAACAGTAACATTATATTAGGCTTAATGCAATACTAGGAAACTTATGTAAGGATTTAAATTGTGACTGTTTCCTTTCCCAGAAAAGGTTAAATGTATACATAATTCTAAATTATTGACATCAGAGGATTTAGCTGCCATTGCTCAGGTCCTTAACTCAAATAAGTTTTGTTTTTCTTCCTTTATGCCATTGTTCTGGGGTGGAGTTAGGGCTGAGGGTTTCAGTATATAG